TGAGAATAAAAACCACAGCTATACACCCACTCACAAGGGAACACAACACTTACTGCAAATGTCACAACAACAATTATGAAACAACAGCAGCATGAGTCATGCAGGATTACGGCAAAACAAGTGACATTTCAGATGATTTTAGAATACTCAACCTATTATTAGAAACTTCTGTACTTCATGTATCTGACAAAAATTGATTAGATAAATGGCATTTGAGAGCTGGCATCTAATGCACAACTAGGGAAGAAACATTCAGTTGTTTGGTTACTATTAAAGAATTAAATAAAATCCTACTGAAATCAAAATGTACTGATGTTGAGATCTATGGAAAAATGTTTGAGCCCGCAGGACCACAGCCTTAACAAGCAAGTAACCAGAGAGGTAAAGAAGTCTCTGATTGGAGCCAGAAATGGAAGCCAGTGGTTTCAGCTTCCAAGTCTTCTGCCAATGAGCAGAGTGACTGGCTCCAGCACATCCAGCTCCACTTTTAAAATAGCTTTTTGGGCTCATTTCAGTGCTCGTGATAGTAAGAGACTAATACCAACAATGCCAGGAATAGCAAGGGAAGATGATGTGCAATGCAGTGCTCCATTAATACACTGAATACAGTTCCACTTCTCTAGCAGCTACAGTCTTCCTAGAGTTGCCATGAACACAACAGACTATTTGCTTATGTGGTGGGTTAAAGATGGGAAACAAGTGTCCATGAAGTAAAATATTCAAAGAACCAAGCACTGCAAAAATCAGCTGAATGCATTATCATTCCCTTTTGATTTTTTATACTGGTAACTGATGTGTTCAAGCCAAGACAGTGACTAATTTGATAGGATTTCCTGTGTAATTCGGCATTCATGTCTTCATATTATAACATTCTGTTCCTATACATCTTTAATGAGATGAAAATATACCTATTTAATTCTACTATCTTGACAAACCTGTGATCTGATTTTAACTTTGTTGTAGCTTTCTCTGCACAGTCAGAATTTCCTTGCAATCCCATACGCAGAACCATGAGCCAAGACCACATGTTAGCCATCAATGCAACCTTTTTTGGGGGGGGTTCTGGGCCATAGAGAGGCTACTAATCAGTGTGCAGAGGTCAGCCACCTGCCCCTTGGATCATAGTTCACACACACAATTAATTCATTATGGGGAAAAGTCAGGGCTGGAGGTTGAACTAGCCATTGCAGTTTTTTTGGAGGTGAATGTCTTGCCACTGACCTGGAGAAATAGCTCCATTAGCTCAAACTCTGTTAAATCGCATTTCCTTATGCTATTTTTCTAATCAGCCAACAGTATAAAACAACAAACAGCAGCAAGCTAGGCCATCAAAACTTCAAAGAAATTATAATTATGGGCATTGATACTCTCTCTCTTCATTTAACAGCATTAAATTACATGCCCATTTTGTTTATGTTGATACTGTAAAATAGAAAGCACGTAGACTGTATGAGAGAGGATAACACATCATTAGTACCTCTATAGTGCTTGCCATCCAAGGACCCCAAATAACTTGAAAAAGAGTGGATGAAACCTCATTAGACATTACCAATGGTAGGGATGGGAAAACTGAGGCACACAAAAGGGTCACAGGAAGTCTGAGAGAACAGAGCTCCTCTATGTTTAATAATGACTAGTAACCGATTTAGTTCAATATTCAGTGCAAGTTATGGCCCTCCTCATTGTAAATTAAGTTTTTCAAAAATCTGTATGTGTGAGCTTTTAGGTGTGCAATGCATTGGGAACCTTTTTATTATATATAGTATCTTTATCTCTCTCTCTCTCTCTCTCTCTCTCTCTCTTCCATCCACTATTTGAAGCCCTAATTAACCAAAACCCTAGACCCTGTCAAGACATTTCTGTCAGGTGCTTTAGGACTTTCCAGGGTTAGCAGCATATGCTGGCTGTCCCTTGAAGAAGCTAGAAATTTCCTTTTCCTTATAGCTTTAAGGACTGGCTCCTTAGTCAAATGCACAAGAAGATACCGGACATTGGACTTTAATCTTGAGCAAATATTGTCTATTTGGATCTTGGGCCACTGTGATCTTTGGACAAAACTTCAATATCTGGGAAGAAAGAAATTTCTTTGGAAAGTTTAGCAAAGGCACAAGCAGCTTCTCGATGTCCCTCTGCAACTGAGAATATTTGAAGTGGATTTAAAGGATCGATCAATGGGTGGACAGCAGGTGAGACATCCAGTGATAATGCTAAATGCAGTTATGTTAGGAAAACACACACACACACGGTGGGTGGGGGGGGTATACCTATGTATGTATGCATATATGGAGGAGTATACATACATATGTTTGGAGGAGTGTATATGTATGTATGTATATAGGCATTTGTGTACTGTGTATGTATGTGTATACACACACCCTATCCATTAAGTCTGATAACTTACTCTTGTTGTTATAGTTTAATTTACAGATTCTATCATATTTGCTCACAGTTATTAATGCATGGGTAGTCCCTAAGATATCAATGGGACTAAATAACAGTGTTTCAGCCTTCTGACAACAGCTGTGGCTGTGTCTCTCTTTCCATTTAGTTTTCCTTTCACCTGTCTTCTTCTGTCCAAAACTTGGCTTGTATTTCCGACATTGTTTGTGGTAACTAGTCATTATCTCAACCTCAACATAACTAACACAGATTTTTTATCTTCATTTCACATGTCCTCTCGTATAACTTTCTTTCCTCGATCACTGAGCAGAATCACTCTGCCTGTCAGTCCCATAACACTGACATCATCTTTTGCATGGACTTCACTTTGTTTAGGTCCTCACGTCCAGGTTGTCTCAGGGTTTCCAATGACTTCTGCATAACATCTCCAAGATCTCACCTTCTCTCTCCGTTCATGCACCCAAAACGCTTATCCAGGCACTTGGTGTCTTATGTCCCTTATGCTGCAACACCTTTTTCCCTGGCCTTGACAAAGACACTATTCAATGGGCAACAGAGAGATCTTCTATGTCCTAGCTCTATTCCAGGTATATTTGGCCATCAGTTTCCTGGTACTTTAAGGGATTCTACCTCCCTCAATTCCTCTGCTTTGGGCTGGAACAGAATACTGAAGGAGTAAGTTAATACTCAAGATAGGTAAGCCCTTTTATACAAGAGTTATTATTCCTGGTTAATCCACAGTGGACATGTTTATTCCAGAATAAGTCCACCTGTAGGCAAGCTCTAAGACTAACAAAGCTCTAAGACTAATGAATCTAGAACTATATATACACGTCTTTGGAAGCACAAAATATTTGCTGAAATATCACTTGCTCCAAATAGAATTAAAAAACAACAGACTCTGCAAAGTTACACATCGTTATTGTGTTACTACACTAACATTTAGAGATATTAAAAGTTTCACAGAATTTCATTAAGTTTATGATGCCAATATTCCTTATGGTATATCAGAAGAGATGTGTTACTGTGCATCTTGGCACCATCTAATTTGCAATCTCAAACAAAAGATAGCCCCTATTTTGCATGTTCATGATGTGACTTCCTGACATAGCCCTTAAATTCCTTTTTAGATTAAGCAATTACCTGGCCAACAAGGCTAGGGACAGAAGTTACACATAAACCAGTATAAGTGATCAGAAACCAGTTCAAAGCTGTAACACAACAGAAGTTCAGTACACATAAATCACATTCAAAGGCTAGGGACAGACGTTTAAAAAGCTGGAGCCTGAATTGATTGAATATTTGCAGGTTACTCTAACCTGCCTAGACTGAACTAGTTTGGAACTGAACAGACATTCCCTCTGGACAGAGGAAATGCAGGCACATGTCTGCAACCCTCAGGGTCAAGAGCCGGGGTGGCGCTAGAGCACACCCTCGGTTGCAGAGAAGCTGGGGGGGGGGGAGGGGGCCGCGTGGCCAGGCCCAGCAGTAGCATGGGGGTTTAATTCCCCGCTCCCTGTCCCATGGACCTGAGCTGGGTCTGCTGGGCGCTCCCTTGCTGCTGCAGAGGCAGGGATGTAGCCAGACACTGGCTGGTATGGCCCCTGAGGCAGAGGGGGCAGGGAGGGGGGTTATTTCCACCTCCACCCTCTCTACCCTCAGGGGACCACAGCAGTGTCTCCCCGCCTGACTACTGCCGCTTGCTCCCTGAACCAGGAGAGCTGCAGGATAAGACCCTTACAGGCCCCCACCCCTGCCTGTCCCTGCTCTGGCTAGGGAGCAGAGGGGCAGGGCCAGCCCTGCTCCACTGGAGCAGAGAACACAGCCCAGAGAGCATGCCAGGATGCTGGGGGACTCTGGTTTGAACTTAAACCAGGAAGGGGTCTGGGACAGAAGTTGCATAAACCAGTTTGAGCTCAATCAGGTAAATATGATACTACATTCAACCAGGTTTCTCTCAAACTGGTTTCAGTCATTTTGAAACTCATTTATATGCACTGAACAGCTATTCTGTTACAAGTTTAAATCAGTTTCTGATCACTTAAACCAGTTTCAGTTTATGTGTAATGTCTGTCCCTAGCCAAAATGGCTGAAACCAGTTCAAGATAAACTTGGATGGATATAGGTTAAATCAGTTTATTGAACTTCTGTCCCAGATCCCCTCCAGTTTCAGGTTAACTCATGGTCCCCCAGCATGCTTTACACTTCACAGGGTGGGCTTTAGCCTAAGATGTCTGCTCCAGTTATGCAGGGAGACATGCTCTAGTGCCCCCTGGCTTCTGGCCTTAGCCACTGCAGGCATGTAGCTGCATTTCCAAAATCAAAAGAGAATGTCTATTTATATGTTTATTGGTTCAATGTACGCAGTATAGAGTAACCTGCAAAGATTGAATTAATTTAGCCTCAGGCTTTTTGACTGTCTGTACTTAGCTTAATAGGATCAAGAGTATTGTTTTTACCTCAGCTTGAGAATTAGGTGGCAAAACTGATGTTTCATTTTCCATTACACTTCCAGTAGGGCCATTGCTTGGTGAGCTTGGACCTGATCCTGGAGAACCGCTACTGACTGAGGACTCTGAAAAACAGATGAAGCAGATATGCAACCAGGGTTAAATTAGATATGTCCAGCTGTGCTTATGATGAACATTGTATGCTTCCTTCAGCATATATATGAAGAATGCTGAACCTATACTGAATGGAGCATTCAATTCATTTTTAAGGGAGGACAGTTTTTTAGCCTCTTAAAACAGACAGATATTCTTGTTCTTTTCCCTCTTGACACTCTGGTGCACAAAGGGTGAATTTATTACTTGACTTTTCTGCAAACATGGCACATTACTCAGTGGCAAGCAAACAGAACTGCTAATGAGTAAAAAGAAAAGGAAGCACTTTTTATTGCATAGCCTCCTGCCTCTGAGAGAGATCAGAATGACAGAGATAGTAGACTTGCAAAGGTCAAGATAACATGTCATCAATTCATGAGGCCTACTGCCATTCCTTTGCTATTTGGAAAGGGCTGCAAAGTATTCTGTTGTGAACTAACCTTTATATGTGCAACCAATAAAAAACAATACGCCATTTATAATATACCTCTGTCAGCAAAGTATGAGGAAATACCTGCAGCATGCAAAATCTTAAAACAGCATTTTGAGGACTCTGTTTTAGTCTGTCCTGGTTCAAAGTACCCAGGAGCTTTGGTCAAGATGAAGGGTAGTGAGACGACTTACTAGGTCTTTGTCAATCTAACTTCTTTAAGTCTATGTTGATTAAAATGAGAGTTTTGTGTACTGAACAAGGAAAAAGATAACAAGAAGTAATTAATATTGCCATTATGTGGAGATATAAAAATCTTTATTTACATAATATCTTTTTATACAACCTGTGTATCAGGAAATTTAAATAATTTCAGTTAGCCAGCAATCACTAGCCACTAGCCAAATTGGACATTTTTAGATATCGCCAACTCTATATTCTCTACGTTCTGTACCCACTTGCAGTTTACTCCCCACTCTTACTGTCACTGAGATAATGGGAGTTATACTAGTGGCTTTTAAGACTCTCTGCTGTTTCAGTTCCAGCTAGAATACATTTCTGCAATTCACTGTCATGAGTCAATACACTAATAATGTACATCTGGGCAAGAAATGTTTTTGCAAAGAAACTTTTCAGCTTTTCATACAAAAAATGCAAACCTCCAAAACGATAATTCTCTTTTTCCCATTTCTGGAAATGTTATTATTTTTTATTTCTTTCAAAAGAAAAGCTTTGGCAGGAAAAGTCTGATCACCTGTACTTTTCAATCACGGGACAAAATGTACAAAACATGGTGAAACAAATCACACCAATGACAATCAGTAAAAAAACAAACAAACCAATGAACCCACGAAAACTATTTTCTGGTGTAAGGAATCACTGTTAGTAAGCCAGTGTCAAAGACAGCAACAGAATACAAGTTTCCTTTCCTTTACTACTTCTACTTTAACTATGGCAAATGGTAAAGTTATCCTGTTAAAGTAATTAGTATTTTATTTTGCATCTCACTTGTGAGTGTACACATCACAGAAAGGAATGGGCCATCCTAGAAATCAATAGGAGATGAAGATTTTGACATTAGGAGTGTCGGTGAAGAAATAGGCAATAGATAGCAACTGGTAGATCTGCAACAACTTGAACAGTGGCATTTATATCACTAGCAGTGAAATAATTTGTACATATCTGAGCCTAATAGCAGATTTTTTAAATGGAAAACACTGTAGCTGTTCCACAATTTTAAAAAAAAGGAAATATTCTTCACCTGGATCATAATGACGCCTTGTTGGACCTAGTGCTGGCCACAGGTGATGACCTGGTGAGGGGGCTGCGGGTGCTCAACCACCTGGGTGACAGCGATCATCGCCTGCTGGAATTCACCATCCAGCACAAGGTAGCAAAGGCATGCAGTAAGGCAGCGGCCCTAGATTTTAGGAGGGCACACTTCAGTGAGCTAAGGAGGATAGTTGGAGAGGCGCTGAGGTCCCGGAGGGGAGGGGAGCCAGGTGTCCAAGGAGAGTGGTCGCTCCTTAAGGAGATAATCCTCCAAGCCCAAAGGAAGGTAATCCCAATGAGGATCAAAGGGAGCAGGAGAGCACACAAGACGCCATGGCTCACCAAAAGCATCCAGGAATGTCTCCTTGCTAAAAAGGAGACTTACACCCAATGGAAAGAA